ACGTCCCACTTCCGAGTTGCAAGACCCTGGGCGAGGGATGACTCCCCGTGGAGGCTGCTCTCTCACCTATAAAACAGTGAGTGCGTAACAGTTAGAACGGGCCTCGAACGCTGTCGCTGAGGATTCACTCACGGGACAGAGGCCACCAAACCCTGAGCACGTGCCCGGCACAGAGGCGCTCCCGGGAACATTCAGGGATGCTTTTGAAGGTGCGGGGGGCGGTGTGTGGAAAGGCTGAGCAGCTAAGACTCCCGGAGTCCCCTTTGTGAAGACGGGCGATTATCCTCCCTGCTCCGCCCCCACCTAGCGGACTAGGGGTGGGAGACCTCGATGTCATCGCGGCTTTCTGGGCCGCAGCCCATCGCCAGAGGACAAGCGGCAAGACGAGCGGTGGGCGGCCAGTGGAGGCGGGTGGGGCCCAGCAGTGGCCGCTTAGGTCACGGCAGATTCAGAGGACGCGAGCGGGACACGCGCTATTAGGCAGCGTCCTGGAGCCCAGGGTCTGGGCGCGAAGGGCCTTGGGCCAGCTGGAGCTGCGGGGCGCCCTCGGGGCCCCGCAGAGTGATGCAGGATGCAACCAAGACTCTCAAGAGGGACCTCAAGTTGAGGACATACGGCAAGACGTCCTGGGGAAATGCAGTGCGGGCCGGGCCCTTTCCGCCCCAAACCAAAGGATGTTTGGGGTTTCCGGACGCGGTCTGCAGGATGGCGCGCGGGAGCTGCCCGCAGCTGGATTAGTGCGAGTGGGCGCGGGAGGCTGTCTTACGCGCTCTCCGGGGTATCCTGACTTAAGGCGCCCTCGGGTATCCTTTTACTTTACGCTCTGAGATTTGCTTCTTGGGCGTCCCTGGTGGCTCAGATGGTAAAGAATCTTTCTGCAATGCAGGAGACCCGAGTTCTATCCCTGGGTCAAGAAGATCCCCTGGAGAAGGGAAAGGAGACCCACTCCAGTATTCTTGCCTGGAGAATCCCATGGACAGAAGAGCCTAGCCAGGCTACAGTCCATGGGGTCCCAAAGAATCTGACACGACTGAGCAACTAACAGTCCAATGATGGGAGAGGAGGCTTGTGGGAGGGAGTGTGAAGGGCTGGTTTTCTACCCGCAGATGGCAGGACAGCGCGAGCAAGGCCTTGTGATGCCAGCATCGGCAGGCAAAGTGTCTGCAGGGTCACAGTGGATGGTGTGTGCACTCCCCAAGCTGGAAGCCTCCTCTGGGGCTATTTCTGTGATGCATGCCTCCAGAGCAGGTCCAGACAGGTGTAGAATGTGGTCTGCAGGGGAGCTTCACAGACCAGCCATGGATGGTGGATTAGAGGTTCTGGACACATGTGGCTGTAAGAGTTAAAAAAAACAAACAAACGTGGGGGTGGCTGTGGCAGGGGCCAGGAGGAGCAGGGAGCAATAGGAACTTGGTTCTGGTGCTGCTGCCTTAGCTCCTGCCCTGGCCCTGTGTTTTATCCCAATGGGGCCCTCCCCACCTGGTGGGGCATCTGAAGAGCCCAGGAGGTGGGCTTGGCTAGATGTGTTCCTACAGTGGGGACCCAACCAGCATCACAGGGGAACTGAGGAAAATGCAAATTCTGGGTCCCACCTCAAACCTCTGGGGCCCAAGAGAGTATGCATTTCTAACAGGTTTCTGGGGAAAGCTGATGATGCCTTTTTAGGGACCACTGCAGGTTCAGTGGCTTCGAGAGCTATTCACACTGCTCTGCTCTGGTGCCTGAGCCACCGCATCCTTGCTCACATGGCCCTGAGCCCACTTCCGGGCCCCGGTCAGCTGCTTCTCTGGGTCTGTCCTCCTAGGGGTGTGTCGACTGCTCAGTGTGTGCACCTGTAGCTGGGGAAGCATGCATCTGTGGCAAGTGTGTCCGTGCAGGTGAGGCCCCCAAACTGTGGGATGGAGCTGGTGTAGGAAGAAAAGAGCAGGATACAGGTGGAAGCCCCCATTTGTATTCTTTCTCCGAGCTCTGGAATGGGTGGGGAAGCAGACTGATCTTACTAGAAAAATCACATGAATCCCAAGGCTGCAGAACCAGTGGAAACCTCTGGTTTCCTGTTTTGACCCCTCTTGAGGACTAGAAAAACATGACTCAGCTGTGTAGACTAAGCATTTATTAGTTCACACTTTTACTTTTTAAAATTTAAAACACTTTTTTTTTACAATATTGTGTTGATTTCTGCCATACAACAATGCAGGTAGGGAGGGGATTAAGTATAATTATGGCTGATTTGCATTGTTGTATAGCAGTCCATGCTTTTAAAAAAAGAATGAGAATACAAGCAGGCTGATTTCTCTGTGTTGCATGAGAGAAAACTAAATAAATCATCTTTTACACCTGCCTCTTCTTCCCCTATGCCTCTCCAACCAGTGACAAATTGTCTCAAAAGTTATGTAAGCAGAGATGGAAAGGATTTCCTAAAGGATCCCAGGTTTGATTCCTACGAATCCCTGAAAATACAGTTTGGACTGTATCCTTCATCACTTATACCCTGGCCACTCCCAGTTGCCTTGGCTCCAGGACTTGGATTCTAATTGGATAGGCAATGGGAGCCATGGGTTGCTGCTGCTGCTGCTAAGTCGCTTTAGTCGTGTCCGACTCTGTGCGACCCCAAAGACGTCAGCCCACCAGGCTCCTCGGTCCCTGGGATTCTCCAGGCAAGGATACTGGAGTGGGATGCTATTTCCTTCTCCAATGCATGCATGTATGCATGCTAAGTCGTTTCAGTCATGTCCGCCGACTCTGTGCAACCCTATGGACAGTAGCCCACCAGGCTCCTCCATCAACAGGATTCTCTAGGCAAGAATACTGGAGTGGGTTGCCATTTCTTTCTCCAGGGAGCCATGGGGGTTACTGGCTAAATGCTCCAACTCTGGAGCAGAAGCAGCAGGTTTGCGTCTGAATACCACCACTTACTAGTTGTCGGACTTGGGTAATTAGTTTTTCCAAGCCTTGGTTTTCCCATCTGTAAAATGGGAACAATATGAGTACTTACCTTGCAGGACCGATCTGTGCTCATGGATAAAGTAAGGATGAAAAATACGTCAGCCCTCAAGACATCGAGCTGGTGCAGCAAGAACCTTAAGTTTGTCCCTCTTATCACCTCCTTAGTTTGGGGAGAGAGAAATTTGTGAGACAGGAAGGGGAAGCCTCAGGCAATAATAGGTCCAGAGATCTGGGTGGTGGTTGAATGTTGTCAGACACAGGTTTCTTTAAAGGAGAATAAAGTGTGCTGAATTCCCACTGGTTTTAATGTGACCCTGGTCGGTTTGAAGGTCTCGGTTTCCATAAATCAAGTGCCTCCAGCGACTTCTCCCTTTTCACCTCTCTAACCCTTCCCACAGCTCCATCTCAGGTCCAGACTTGCACAACTGAGTGAGGTGGCCGGCCGCCCAGCGGTCAGCCTGGAGTGGGGACTGGGTGTGGCAGAGGCTCCAGATCCAGTGCCCTGGGGCCACATCTGGATAGGCATCGAGGGCCGGACCCCAGGACCCGGTGACACTTTTACTATTGAAGTCTACCCCAACTTTACTAGCTTCTGGGGCAAGCTGGGGGCTTTGGGGATTTTTGTATTTGCTGGGTTGTAAATATTTTATGAGAAGGCAGCCCAGGAAAATCTGGTTCGCTTTCCGCCTTGCACACTGAAGTGGGATTGGCTTCATGCACAGATGTGTCAAAAAAGAAGTCCAGTTTTGCCTGGGTCCCCAGGAATTCACCTTGAATTTTAAAAGCCTGTTATTGTCCTTCCTCCAGGTGCCCCCATTTTTTTCTCTCAGTGGTAACCAAAAATTTTATCTTCAGGATTAGTTGCAAAGCAAGATGATTTCAGATTGGGTAGGTGGAGGAGGGGAGAATGTCACTCTCCATGTGTATGCGTTGCTTAGGTTCTTCTCCTTGCTGATGTATTTATTTCTCATTGGCTGCAGGATCTTCTCAATGGATAGACGCCCGGTGTTAGCGTTGATTCATTTGCACCCTTGCAGACTTTAGAAACCCTTCTTGCTCTTTTGTTTGTTAAGTGACTGATGAATTTAAAAAAGAAAGAAATTGCCTTGCAGCTCTGCATCCTGTGAACTTCGTGCTCGGCCTAAAGGTTTCAGCAAGCCTGTCTGCTGGGCAGCACCTTCCACTGTTCCACCGGACCCCTGGGTTTCATCTTGGGCTGTCCCTTCAAATCAACTTGGAGATTTTTTTTTTTTTAAAGCAAAGCTAAGAAACCCCAACAAAACTCTAATACTCAGGCCCTGTCCTCAGATATTGATCCAGTTGGCTGACGCACGCCCTGGTGCTGCCATTTAAAAACTCCCTAGATGGTTATAAAGGGCAGCCAAGAAGTTCCCCACTTACTGACTGGCATGTACCCCAGGTCAGACAGGCCTGTAGACAATGCTGTGAGCAAGACTGGCCCGCACAGGGGGCTAGCTCCTATGGGCTGCTGGAGGTCGGGCATGGCTCTTGCTGGGAAAGTCAGACCATTGAGACAGATACAAACGAGGTCCTTGTAGATCGTGCTAAGTGCCGGGAAAGTAATACACCAAGGTCCCCTGGTAGTGACCGAGGGAGCCTGCTTTAGATCAGGGTGGTCGAAGATGGCCCTTTCGGAAGAGGTGACATTTGAACTGAGACGGGAATGATGAGAACAAGCCAGCCGAGCGGAGGTGTGGAGGTATCGCGGCCAAAGGGCGCATTAGTGGTTACGCAGGCTCCTGGGGGTGCGTGGAGGGGGGAAACCTGGGAGGCCGCTGTGGTTGCCTTCTCCACCGACTTCCGCGGAGGGTGTCCCGCGCTGATGGGGACGAGGGGGCCGCCCTGGTGCGCCTTCCTTTCTGCCGCGCTCCGCCGGGGCGGGGAGCCGGGGTGGTCAGCCCGCCGGGTGGGCGCCCCGGGACCCCTACCGACCTGCCCCGGCTCCATCCCAGGGGCGGCCGCAGAGCTCCGGGCTGATCTCCCTCTTAAGTGAAACTGACTGTAATTATTATTATTATTTTTTTATCTCGCAGACGATCTCTCGCACACTCCTCTCCGGAGACAGAAGTATTTGTTTGATGTGTCCACGCTCTCAGACAAAGAAGAGCTGGTGGGCGCGGAGCTGCGGCTGTTTCGCCAGGCGCCCGCTTCGCCCTGGGGGCCGCCGGCCGGGCCGCTCCGCTTGCAGCTCTTCGCCTGCCAGTCGCCCCTGCTGCTGGAAGCGCGGAGCCTGGACCCGCAGGGGGCGCCCCGGCCCGGCTGGGAAGTCTTCGACGTGTGGCGGGGCCTGCGCCCCCAGCCCTGGAAGCATCTGTGCTTGGAGCTTCGGGCCGCGTGGGGCGGCGAGCCGGGCGCCGGGGAGGCCGAGGCGCGCGCGCCGGGGCCCCAGCAGCCGCCGCCCCCGGACCTGCGGAGTCTGGGCTTCGGCCGGAGGGTGCGGACCCCCCAGGAGCGCGCCTTGCTCGTCGTGTTCTCCAGGTCCCAGCGCAAGACCTTGTTCGCCGAGATGCGTGAGCAGCTGGGCTCGGCGACCGAGGTGGTCGGCCCCGGCGCGGGCACCGAGGGGTCGGGGCCACCGCCGCCGCCGCCATCGGGCACCCCGGACGCCGGGACCTGGCCGCCCTCGCCCGGCCGCCGGCGGCGGCGCACGGCCTTCGCCAGCCGCCACGGCAAGCGGCACGGCAAGAAGTCGAGGCTGCGCTGCAGCAAGAAGCCCCTGCACGTGAACTTCAAGGAGCTGGGCTGGGACGACTGGATTATCGCGCCCCTGGAGTACGAGGCCTACCACTGCGAGGGCGTGTGCGACTTCCCGCTGCGCTCGCACCTGGAGCCCACCAACCACGCCATCATCCAGACGCTGATGAACTCCATGGACCCCGGCTCCACCCCGCCCAGCTGCTGCGTGCCCACCAAATTGACTCCCATCAGCATCTTGTACATCGACGCGGGCAATAACGTGGTCTACAAGCAATACGAGGACATGGTGGTGGAATCATGCGGCTGCAGGTAGCGGCGCCTTCCTGCCGCCTCGGCCCGGGATGGCCCGGAGGGAGGTCCGACCGCGGAGAGGCCGAGGGGAGCTGGCCTCCGACGAGGCGGAGAGCGGGGCCGCAGCCTGGACTTTTTTCGGCTGGTGGGAGACCAGGGAGTTCTGCCTTCCCAGAACCTTCCACCTGCCTGCCCAGAGGGAGAGACGGAATTTCACACCTTGCCCGGGGGGCCATCCTGGAAAAACCAGCCAAGGAGGATTTCTTCACTTTTTTTTTTTTTTTGGTCGTTTTTAGTGTGGGTTTGGGTTTCCTCGTGTGTCTCAACAGATTTCCATGGGAGGTGGGGGCAGGGGAGACGCGTACCTATTTCTCAACTGCTCCAAGGATGGGGGGGGGGGGTTGGTGGTGGTTAATAGTTTAAGAAGGGAACCTGTGGAAGGAAGACTCACCTTCGACCACATCTCGGTCGGATTGTTTTCCACTTGTGTAAAGGAGGTGGGTCTTTCTGGCCCTGTTCAGTGACCCCGACCCCGCGCCCCTGCAGGAAGGGTTAAGGCAGAAATATTACAAAGTCAGAAGGGGTCCTGCCTTGGAAGAGCTTTGCTAGACAAGAGGCGGATGCAAACGGGCCTTTGCCGCTTGCTTGTATACCCAGCTCTGCCCTGGCCTCTTCGGGTATGGAGAAGTGGCAACCTGCATCTCACTCCAGGGGGCTCAGGTCACCGCCTTCACTGGCTTTTTCTGGGGGAAAGGGGAGCTGGTATGGATGGAATGACAAGAATGAGTCCAAATGGAACCCCCTGAAGGTTAATGAGAAACCACAAGACCAGCCTCGGTCGGGCTGACACCGAGGTGCCTTGGCCCAGGCTGGAGGTAACCTATGGAAAAGCCCTTCCCCATGTCTGTTTCTCACTGATTTCTTTAGGCAGAATTTGCCAAAATTCAGACATCCCCTTTGAAGGGGAAGGTGATTTCCAATTAAAAAAAAAAAGGGCAGAACTGGGGAACTTAGAACTAAAGTAAGAGATGCAGAGGATGGGAAAGTGACCTAAGAGAAGGAAGGGTGAAGTCTGGAGGGGAGGTGGTTGCCCCCTCCTTCCCCAAGGATGGGGATGGAGGGGCAGGCCCAGGAGCTGGGAGGAGCGGGATGAAAGGAGGCACATGTCCTTGTCTTCGAAGTTTCTTTGGAATCTCTCTTCCCTCCCCTCTCTCTGACATTCCTGAAAGATTACCAGCCAGCAATAGCCCAGGGCTCCCCCCAAAGAATTGTTTCAGATTGTAATTACCAGTTAGGCAATGTTTTTAAAACTTAGTAATGAGAAACTGTGAAAAGAGCAAAGTGTTACATTGAGCTTGGGGTGGGAGATGGGGAATGGGGTGGTGAGGAAGAAGGCAAGGGTGGAATTCAGCTTCTGGAAGCAAGAGAGAGCCCGGTGCAAGTTAAATACCCATCCTCAGGTTGCCAAAAGCACGAACTTTCCCCAGCCTGCACCAGTGTTATTTTCAAACATTGCCCATAAGTAGGCCCTTTGAAGAGTTAGCCTCCTTCTTGCCTTTGACCATGAAATGGTTTAAACAAGGGAACTTGTACCAACCATTACAAGACCTTTTTGTTCTTCCTAAGTGGTATTGCTCTCTCTGGATCTAAACCTGTTGCTTGTTTGGTTCAGAGAACTACAAACTATCCAAGAAAGGGTGAGACTGATAATAAATGCTAATATAAAATGCTAAGTAAAAAAGAAAAAAAAAGACTTGGCCAGGAGAAATAATTTAAAATGCACATTTGCTTTGGATGCACTGTTGTTCTGTTAAGGCTGTATATATTTGTTTATTTAAGGTAACTGAAAGTGCAAAGGGGAAATGGACAGCATGCAATTCATCTTAATGTACAAAACATTATATGCACTCAAATGTTATAATTTCTAATATTTTTAAAGTTTATATTCGAGTTGTACAAAGTTAAGCATTCATCAGATATTTCATTCTTTCATAATGTTATCATTTTCTTAAATATTATTACAAAATTTTAAGTCTGTCTAATGGAGAGTTTTTTTAAAACTGTCTACCTCACTATAATACAAGTATTTACGACACAAAAGTTACCAGAGGTCAATTAATATTCAAAACATTTTTTTACAGTACACTTTTCCTGGATGATACTCAATCTAATACTGTATTATTAAACTCATTTTTTCCCTTAATAAATCTGCCTGGTTTATATGGATCTATTTATAAAAATCATGTTCTCAAGGAATTACTGTCAGTGATATTTTGGTCCAGCATGGGACTGAATGTCTGAAAAGGTGTTGATGATTTTGAAATCCATCTTTCAGAGCATTGCAGTTTCTGCTCACAACTCTTCCATAACTCTCTTTTCATGAAATTTTCATTCACTAGATTAAAGCCAAATCCTTGTCAACTGTTAGAACAGCATTTATGAGCCTGTAACTCATTCCAACATCTCAAAAGTCCAGATAGGAACTGGATTGTTTCTTAGTTTCTTTAATGTTGAAAAAAATTGTAAGTTAGCTAGGCCAGCCAAGATGTCCATAATTACCACTTACATTATGGCATAGGGGGAGCAGAAGATATGAAATGCTCCTTGCTATAAGTTAGGGAGCCCGTGTATAAGAGTAACTCTACATGTTCACGTTGTGTCAGGCATGATACTGTCCATGGATTATCTCATTTAAACCCCTCAGAAACTCCATGAAGTAGGTGTTATTATAACCCCCATTTTGCAGATGAGCAAACTGAGGTGTGGCAAGTTTAAATAACCTGGCTGTGGTAGTTAGGATTTAAACTTAGTTCTTTCAGATTCTAGAACCTGAAGAATTAACCGCTATACACTTTTACCGTGAGACATCTATCTGCTCTCTAATTGGTCCTGAAATGGGGGAATTTGCTGTTAGCCACTATCTTTAGGAATGGACAATTGGAGGAGGAGTTGCTGCTCCAGGGGCCACCAGCATTGTCTGAAGTTTTGGAATATGTGAATTATGACTGCTGGAATAAGGAACCTGAAAAATGGGTACGGATTGCAAAATCCTGGGAGTTCTCAGTTTAGGGCTCGCTCTGCAAATGCATGGTTTAGGTCATTGCTGGGCTTCTGTAGCGTCTCTGCAATTTTCTGGAACTGCCTTGGGTGTGGTTTTTGTGAGTTTTGGTTATCAAAATACTGATTAATTTACAGATAGGTTATGTTTCAGTAGACTGGTTTTAAGAGGACTGTTAAGAATTGAGAAACATTTTCCTTTGGAAGCAATGTTGTTTGAACTGCCAGGTCTTCTTGCAAAAGCTTTATTTACCCTGATGGAAATTCTGCCCCCCACCGCCCCATGGAAGTTTTTAACAAAGCAATTTTGACCAGTGGGTTTTGGGCACAGACAATCACCTGAGAAAGGAAAAGAGAAGCTCCTTCTCTTTCCTGCGTGGAGTTTCTTTTTGAAATAGTTGAAAATTCTTTGCATTTTTCCACCACTTTTTCTGTACCCCTCACCCAAGTCTCTCAACCTCCCAACTGCCCCAGGACTTCCAGCCCTGCCCCCTACGATGCTTCCAATAAAGAGATTTCCTTTCTCTGCACAGATATTTTCATCCCCAAAGTAATTTTCCTCTCTTTCCTCTATCAGAAAATTTATTTCTCAACTCACATGTTAGAAGAAACAATCTGATTGAATTACATGAAGATGTTAATATCTCCAAGCTTCCTAAGCTTGGAGACATTTGCAGTTTAAGAAAAAAAATCTTGCTTAACTCAGATATCTTGTGAGTGATGTGAAGTCAATATAGGAGGACTCAATACAATTTTGAGCTAGGCACTAAGGACAAAAGGATTAATGAAGACACTTAGCAATGTAAAATTTTTTGGTGTCCATTGGGGGACATTTTGTGCAATAAAGAGACTATTTACAGCTAACACTTAAAAATTAATATCCAATGTATTAAAGCAAGCAGTTAATAACTTAGTTCTTCTAAAGCTCGTTAAGTTTAATGAATGTAGGCCCCATGAAGCTTTTTTTTTGGCCTTGTTTTATTTCTATATTCTTAGTATACAGAATAGTGCTCAACATATGGCATGCGCTCAATAAATATGTTGAATGAATATTTACAAATCCAATTTTACTTTTAAATCTAGTAGTTTTAAGAAGCATTTTCAAGGGAGCCTTTGATTTCTGTCTTTTCAACTCAAGTTGAGTGGACCAATCTCCCTTAATCAACCAATTCTGGTTACAAACCTAGTTAATAAACTTCTTTTAAATATCATACATTGCTTTTGTCAATTTAATATATTCATTTTCCCCTCAAACCCTTCACATTTCCCTAACAGGGAAAAAAAAAAAATCTTCCCACGTACTTAAACCACTCTGATGATTCTTAAGTTCTATTAAGTATTTCAGTACCGCTTATACCATTTGATTTAACACTGGCTGGGAATCTAAAGTTAATTGCCCAGTTGACCATTTAAACTGGCACCAGAAGGCTGTTAGATACCTTAATAAGCCACATTTTCTTCAAACGTGCAAACATTTAAAATATCAAATACATATAGGTTGTCTAAATGATTAAAAAACATTATTTTAGAATTTTATATAAAGTATTAATAATTTAAATTCCAATTAATCTTTGTACTCTATTCCAAAGTTTCTTTGGGTTAAAAATACTAACCTACTACTGACAAAGTATAGTTTCACAAGCAAGTGAGGAGACCATGTCAACAGACTGTGTAGTTTCTAATCTACCAGAGGTTCAGTTGAGGAAGGAGATGGATTCTTCTGAGAGGCCAGCATGCCAACTCCTTCTTAATAGTCACCACACCAACAGGAACTCCAAAGCCACGTCTTTTATGAGTTGGTCTCTCTGGGTTCAAGAGAGGCTGTTAACCCATCTTTCCTTCTGATTTGAGTAAACTGAATTCCATGCTCCCCATTAAGATTGAAGCTTTTTTTCATTAGTGAGCTGGATTTCACATTTATTTCATAACCTTAGGACATTTCCTTGTTTTCACCTTTGGCTTTAAAATTACTGCCACTCTATTGAATTCTTCTGCCCTCCCATAATTTTTCCACCACCTCTTCCAACTTTATCAAACTCTGGTAGTCAGAATTCTGCAATCTTTTTCTGCATCTGTCCTGTCTGGAAAATCCACAACTCTTACAGTTAAGAAAATGACATCTAATGGAAACTGCACATGCTCGTTCCTTGCCTGGTTCTATGGTTCACCATACAAAATTGTAGGAATGAGAACACAGTCCCTGCGCTTGAGGAGTTCACAGGAATATTATAATTGTTAGTTTACTATTATCTCCTTGGCTAATCATTACAAGAACTCTAATTACGATTGCTCTGCTTTACAGATGAGAAAACTGAGGCTTAGAGAGAGGTTCAAGCAATTGCTGGGGCGAAGCTAAGATTTAATCTGATAGACTCCAGAGCATATTTGCATCTGCTCAGTCTTTCGGTGGTTATTTATTAAGTTCCCATAGTTTGGAAGGCTCTGTTTGAGGCTCAGAGAAACTACAAATAGAGCTAGAGCTAAGGGAAGTTCCAAAATTGAGCTGAACTTCTAAGACTTTACAGACTCCTAAAGGCAGACTGCTCTCTCTACCTAAGTTCTGCTTTTAATGGCTTATTTCCTTTCCAACAAACAAATTCTCTGAAAGCTTTAACCTCCCTCCTCCAGAAATGTTGAGGAAGCAGGCAGAGTAGGATGAGGAGTTGAGAGATGAGGAAAAGGGCAGTATTTGCAGCCATGGGTTCTCTGTACCATTCAGATGTTCAGAATTACAAAGGGTGTAACGCTAACCCTTCCAAGAAAGTCCAAACTTATTAGTAATAAAATGTGTTTGATTTAAAAAGAAAGAATTTAATAAATACTTATTATATATTAGTGTCATCTGTGACTAGAGGCAGAATTCAACTGAGGATGATCACATGAGTGGAAATTAGAACCTCTTGAGGCAACTTTGTTTTTGAAAATTCCTCTTTCCAGTGATGATTCCTTTACCTCTGCTGGGAGTTCTTAAGCATGATAATCACTCAGAAGTAAGAATGTGAAAACTAGTTAATATGCCTTTTCTTCTCAAACCAGCTAGGGAATCAACAGTATGTGCACAGGGAATTTTAAAACAAGTTTAACAGGATTATTTACTTTTGACCTAGGCAATGACCAGAGAAGGCAATGGCACCCCACTCCAGTACTCTTGCCTGGAAAATCCCATGGACGGAGGAGCCTGGTGGGCTGCAGTCCATGGGATTGCTAAGAGTCGGACACGACTGAGCGACTTCACTTTCATTTTTCACTTTCATGCATTGGAAAAGGAAATGGCAACCCACTCCAGTGTTCTTGCCTGGAGAATCCCATGGATGGAGAAGCCTGGTGGGCTGCCGTCTCTGGGGTCGCACAGAGTCGGACACCACTGAGGCGACTTAGCAGCAGCAGCAGCAGGCAATGACCAATTGGGATACATCCCTGATGCAGAGATTCAGCAGTCCACACTTCCAAGTTGATTGCGTTTGCAACAGAGAGAATCTTCTGTCTCTATATTGAAGACCTAATGGTTTACTTGGGATTACCAACTGATTTACACCAGCCAGTTTTTTTTTTTTTAATTTTCTTGATTTGATTTCTATTTTGTTGAATTCATTAGTTATTTCTAGGGAAATTATTTTCTCCAATTTGTCAGAAGGAAGGGACACTTGGATTGCAAAATATCTCCCCTCTTTGCCTTTGAGACTAATGCAATCATTTACATGGAGAAATACTTACCTGTCTATGTTGAGACAGTCTTAAAGTCTCAGAGTTTCTGTTTTAATTTTGAAACTTTCCTTTATCTCCAGTTTTATATCTAAAATCTCCAATAAGTTGAGCAAACCATGGAGATAATTAACTTCAGAGTTATATTCTTGTCCTTACTAGTGGTTAATGCTCGTTGGATACCAATAGCATTTACGTCGTGGTAGAAGATTAAAATATATTCAAGGCCCTTGGTCAAGAGTTCAGTTCATAGTTTATTCTCATCAGAAAGCATTTTTAATGTGGCTTATTTTAAAATTGCTGCCCAGAACAAATGGACAAAATCTATCTTATAAGAATGTTTGGTTTAGGCTTAAATAATTTTGTATGTATTCATTCCAGATTTTAACTTTTACTAAAACCTAACTACTAAAGGTTTTTGGGAATGAGCTTCCAGTGAGACAGAACTTCTGCCACTACAGTGAACAAATGGTTTTTCCAAATAAACAGATGATTGTTTCACTAAAAAAACAATTTTCTGTTTTCTAACATTTGCTTGTGTTAATTGGAAAGTGACATCTCAGCCAGCACATTGGTAGTTGTTGTTGCCTAGCTGGCAGTGAAAGTGTCCTGGGTTGAACAGTAGGACAGCAGAGTGGTTGAAGAATACCAAGCTCCGAACAACCACTGTGTCTTAGAACTCCTCCAAGTTATCCCAAATCTTTGAATTTGGGTTATTTGTCTAGAGGTGGACTGCAGGTACAGGCAGATTTAGTTTCATATTACTGTTTTCCAGTCTCTTGGTGTGACTGCAGGTGGTCTGTAGGCTGCAGGTGGTCACTCTATAATCAGGTTTCCTGGATCCTTGTAGGTCCACCCATGTTCCTTAGCAGGGAAGTAGCCAGGAAAATTTGTATCTTCCCTAGCAAGTAAAGAAGGTGAAGGAGAGGTTATAAGTGCAGGAACTTTGCTCCTCCTGTTGGCATGTTGGTGGGTTTTGTGATTGGTGGTGAGCTTCAACTCTCTGCTATTTACATAATGTATAGACAATGGTGTGGTAATGGTAGTTGCAGTGTCAGTCAGTTTAACCATTCGAAATTAAAGATAGGGACTTCCCTGGTGGTCTAGTGATTAAGACACCACAGTTCTACTGCAGATGCGTGAGTTCGATCCCTTGCCAGAGAACTAAGATCGTGAATGCCATGCATGGCCAAAACATAGGATAAAAAAGACATTTGAGATAAATATATGATAATAATAGAATCAATTAGGCCTATTCAGTTTTATTTAATAGA